GAATGGTGGCTGGTCTCAGATGATCCTGCAGATCCCGCAGGTGAAGAAGCCGGATGTGGAGGTCCTGAGCTGGCGTGATTACACGTGGCCTTTTTATTGTCCCCAGCACAAGGTGCATCTCTGTAATTATCATGCTGTTTAATCAGCTTCTTGATATGCCACAGCTGTAAGGTGGATGGATTATCTTGGCATAGGAGAAATGCTCACTACCAGGGATGTAAACACATTTGTGAATGAAATGTTAGAGAAATAAGCTTTTTGTGCATATGGAACATTTCAGGGATCTTTTATTTCAGCTCATGTAACATGGGACCAACACTTTCATGTTGCGTTTATATCTCTGTTCAGTATGTGTCGTTTAACAAGTGGATTATTTTGCTCTTCAGTCACTTAGTAGCCTGGCCCTACCCCCGACCAAAAGCCTGTGACTTGTCCTAATCAATCATTCAATCAATGTGATTTTATCTTTATTTTTATATTGAGTTAATTATCTTGCTGGGCAAATAAGTGGAGATGGTATAGCTCATCTATTAGTTTGCTCATCTATAACTGATCAGAAACATTTAACATGCAATGTAGTCTATATTAAGTATAGTCCTATTATTTTGCTCGATCACGTAAAGGCAACTCTAAAAGCCCACGGAGGTTGGGAAATATGAGACTTGCATGCTTTTGAAAATATAGATTGCTATTATTTTCTATCGGTATCATGATGAAGATATTCTCAATGTAAGATCCTAGGCCTGTTCCCTAACAAAGCAGAGTTAGGGTAAGAAAAATATGAAACGTGGATCAAAAAAGCATGGGCTTGCCTTGGGCTCGGTTTCAAAATATCAAATGTTTTATATGACAGCGGTTCCACACGTTGCCGTGAAAATAAAATATTATTTGTATTTTATTCTGTTATATTTCATTATATTCTATAGCCTATTATAAACTGGGTGGTTCGAACCCTGAATGCTGATTGTCTGAAGTTGTTGGGGCATGGACTCTACAAGGTGTCGAAAGCGTCCCACAGGGATGCTGGCCCATGTTGACTCCAATGCTTCCCACAGTTGTGTCAAGTTGGCTGGATGTCCTTTGGGTGGTGGACCATTCTTGATACACACACGAAACTGTTGAGCGTGAAAAGCCCAGCAGCATTGCAGTTCTTGACCCACTCAAACCGGTGTGCCTGGCACCTACTACCATACCCCGTTCAAAGGCACTTTAATCTTTTGTCTCTCCCATTCACACTCAATGGCACACATACTCAATTTATGTCTCAATTGTCTTAAGGCTTAAAAATCCTTCTGTAATCTGTCTCCTCCCCGTCATCTACACTGATTGAAGTGGATTTAACAGGTGACATCAATAAGGGATCATAGCTTTCACCTGGTCAGTCTGTCATGGAAAGAGAAAGTGTTCCTAATGTTTTGTACACTCGTGTATGTGTGTTGATTGTGATCAGGGTAGCCTAAGTGTGTCTATTGATTTCATGTGCATATATGCTGCACAGACCAGTAACATAATTGAACTCAAAATATGCCGTTCTGTTCTTTTGAAAATAAATTGTATTTGTCTTATAATGTTTCTTAGGGACCTGCCTAAAACAAATGAATAATGTTTTCTTTGTGATGGTGTATATTCAATGGATTTATTCAAATAGATGTCCAACCACATCGGCCCACGTCTACTCCCACTCCTAAACTTGCCGGCATGTGCACGGGAGATATAAAAGGCTTATCCCGGCAAGAATGTGGTAAAAATGGGACTGTATGAATTGGGCTCTAAAAACATTGGCAGATTATTATTATTTTTTACAGGCAACATACCGTAAAATCTGTCTGTAAAGGGTATATGATAGACTGGACTGGACCAAATCTGAACCTGTCTGTGGAGAGAGAGAGTGCGAGAGAGAGACTGTTTTAACACTCTAGGTTTGACCACCAGACAACACAAAGACAAAGAAAACAGTTATCAGCTGAATATAACAGTATGCCAGTGGAAGGGAGGACAGTAGCAGGTTTTTATTTAACCTTTATTTAACCAGGTAAGCCAGTTGAGAACAAGTTCTCATTTACAACTGCGACCTGGCCAAGATAAAGCAAAGCAGTGCGATTAAAAACAACAACAACACAGTGTTACATATGGGGTAAACAAAACGTACAGTCAATAACACATTAGAAAATCTATATACAGTGTGTGCAAATGTAGTAAATTATGGAGGTAATGCAATAAATAGGCCATTAGTGCAAAATAATGTATTAACACTGGAATGATAGATGTGCAGAAGATGATGTGCAAATAGAGATACTGGGGTGCAAATGAGCAAAATAAATAACAATATGGGGATGAGGTAGTTGGGTGGGCTAATGACAACTGCTCTAACAACTGATGCTTAAAGTTAGTGAGGGAGATAAGAGTCTCCAGCTTCAGAGATTTTTGCAGTTTGTTCCAGTCATTGGCAGCAGAGAAATGGAAGGAATGGCGGCCAAAGGAGGTGTTGGCTTTGGGGATGACCAGATATACCTGCTGGAGCGCATACTACAGGTGGGTGTTGATATGGTGACCAATGAGCTAAGATAAGGCGGGGATTTGCCTAGCAGTGATTTATAGATGACCTGGAGCCAGTGGGTTTGGCGACGAATATGTAGTGAGGGCCAGCCAACAAGAGCGTACAGGTCACAATGGTGGGTAGTATATGGGGCTTTGATTACTAAACGGATGGCACTGTGATCGACTACATCCAGTTTGCTGAGTAGAGTGTTGGAGGCTATTTTGTAAATGACATCGCTGAAGTCAAGGATCGGTAGGCTAGTCAGTTTTACGAGGGCATGTTTGGCAGCATGAGTGAAGGAGGCTTTGTTGCGAAATAGGAAGCCACATAACTGTGGTTTGTAACTATTATGATTTCCCATTGTAGCCAATGATTTCCCATTGTGGTGTCCTGAATCACTGTGGTCACTAAAGATCCCATGGCACTTATCGTAAGAGTAGGGGTGTTAACCCCGGTGTCATGGCTAAATTCCCAATCTGGCCCTCATACCATCATGGCAGCCTAATCATCCCCAGGTTCCAATTGGCTCATTCATCCCCCTTCCTCTCCCCTGTAACTATTCCCCAGGTCGTTGCTGTTAATGAGAATGTGTTCTCAGGCAACTTAACTGGTAAAATAAGGGTTATATATTTATTTATGTTGTCTTATTTATGTTTTAATTACATATTTGTTTTGGTAATTACAAGTTTTTATCACTTAATAATTCATAAACAAAATTGATATCAGTAAAATCACTATAACTAATTGGTAGGTCTACCATTACTTGTTACTTCTGTGAACTTTCATTATATTCCCTCCTCATGAGGGAGAGTAATTAGAAAATGTCTTAGATATTTGGGATTTTGGTAACTGAATTACAAGGCACAAGGCTATATTTCTTAAACTTACAGAAGGTAAACAATTTCTCCAAAACTAAATCTGTGTTGATATTAGTTGGCAAGGGTCTTTATGTCAACATTATTGTGTTTTGATGTATTTTTAATAGTTTTTCTGGTAGATGTTTTCTAAGACCCCTTTTTCATCTGTTTATCCAAAAATCCTTTACTTAAGCCACATTTTTAAGATAGTTGAAAAATGTATCTATGCTGTCATTTCCCAAAAATATAGACTCTTAAGGCATCCCCATGCTTCCCATCCAAAACAGTTTGTGCATATATTATGATGCCATTTTGTTACGTTTTTATTCGTATTTTCAACTAGGAACTAACACTGATAAAACATTTTTCACACTTTTCATCAGCTGTTGTACCATATGAAACAAAACACAGGAAAAACACATTTTGACTGCACTGGGCCTATAAGCAAATCCTATTGACATATTTTCAAAGATAGGAAGTGCTTTTCTAGAGTACATCACAATGTTCTATCCCGCTGGGCACAGACGTCATCGTTGAAATGACGTGGAAACAACATTGATTCCCATTGGGATGTTCCATTATTACCACTGAGAGAGAGATACTATCAGAGACATTAAAGGGGCTTCGGGGGTGTGCTCTTGGAAAAGAGTTGGAAATTGGGGCTCTGCCTCACTCTTCTCTCTCAAACCCCTTCAGAGTGTCGTTACTCTCTGTGGGTCTTCATAAACTGGCTAGATTACCATAGAAGACTGTGTGCATGTGCGTGTGTGCTGTGTCTGTCCGTAAACCGGCTATATTAGAACAGAAGATCAGTGAGGATATTCATAACAGAGTTAAACCAGGGCCAGATGCCAGCAGCAGATATCTCTAATAATAATATTATACAGCCAGACTGGAACTGTGCCTTCATATAGGCTAGGTCTCAAATGGCAGCCTATTCCTATATAGTGCACTAATTTTGACAAGGGCCCATATGGCTTTGGTCAAAAGTAGTGCACTATAGGAAATAGGGTGCCATTTGGGGCGCAACCCTAGTTGCTGTTCATGTGTTTGTGTTCTCCATGTGTTCTGTAGTCTGCACTGCAGGTGTGTACTGTATGTATATGCATTGTATAACCTCAACCTACGAAGATTTGAATTGAGTTGATCTACCACCAAGCTAATGCAAAATGTACCAAAAAATGACTAGTTAAATTACATGTAGTGGAACTGTTGGTCACCATGCTGACCCCTGGTTGATCAATGGGGGACCTGGGCCGGTAATCATAAATTGTCTGAGAGTAGGAGTGCTGATCTGTGACCAGGTCCTTCCTGTCCATATAATGTTATTCATTATTATCTAAAAGGCTAAACTGATCCTAGATCAGTACTCCTACTCTGAGACCCTTTGTGAATACAGGCCCTGATATCATTACATAAACCTGATCGGCCATGTCACCAAATAACCGCCCGCCATTCTGCCCTGCCCCTCGACAGAAGCCCCAGATTGGCCTAGCTGAAACAGTGTAATTAGCCTGAACCAATCACAGCAAGGGCATTAAGGGCGGATTACCCATTAGCTAGCAGCTTAGCTGTCAGCTGTCTGCCTACCCTGACTGGGAGGAATGCTGGTAATTCCAGCTGAAGGCTTTCCTCCTCATGTAGTTAGAGAAAAAATGTGCACGACCGGGAGAAATATCCAGGCTTAAAGAATTTAGTGGCACTAGCTATATCCGGACTGGGTGGATAGGATCACTGTGTTCTGTTGGCACATATAGGCGGCATCCCAAATGGTACCCTATTCCCTACATAGTGCAATACTTTTGACCAGAGCCGTATCGGCCCTGGTCAAACTTAGTGCACTATATAGGGAATAGGGTGCCATTGGGGACATAGACTTAATAAAGGCTATCATGAGCCGTCCAATCTCTCAGTTCTGAATGTGTCCATGTGTTGTGTGGCCTATAGATGTACATTCCTCAGCATTAGCTTCTTCAATCTGGTTCTGTGTGTGGTGTGCAGACTGAACCGCAGACCTAGGCCCGACGGTTGTGTGGTTTAAATGGTCTGTACTTTGTACATGGAAACTTGAGGTGGGGAGAGAGAGAGAGCTTTGGCTATACACTAAATCCATTAAAGAAATTGGATTATTTGTCCCTGTACCATCAGTTCTCAATGTTCTCTCCTCTTGTAAGAAAAAAGAAGAAGACAATGTCACCGAGCTGGAATTGCAAAAGCAAAACAAATTGATCTTGTCATGGTTGTGGCAGGTCATCTGACTCATTGAGCCAGTAGCCATTTATTATCCCCTGTCCTTTCTGACCCTTTTAAGGAATTCAACCTTAATCCATCATATATTCCTGATAGCTCAGTACATGTGTGAGTAACAGATATTGGCGTGTGTATCTCTGTACTGTCTGTACCTACAGTATATGTCCTGTCCGTCCGTCCGATGGGCATTATGGAGGAGTTATGGTCAGAAGATGCAGGGTAGATCACAGAGGCCATTGCCTGGGTCATGTTCATTAGACACCAAATGAAATAAAAGAACAGGAACTAGTTTTGCTACGTTGTGCCCAAATACAACCATGGTTCAAAGTGCAGTGGATGGATAGGACCTATGGATCCTGGTATCGTGACAAGCACAATAGGCTTGTCACGATACCAACATTTTATAAACAATATGTTACCAGGCCAAGTATCACGATACCGAGTAGTATCGCGATACCGCGGTGGAAAAAAATCAGTGGCCAAGGATCCTTGTTCACGTTTTGTAAACGTTCTCTAAAAACCTGTCACTGAAATTCACACTTCTACTCAATACAACACATTGAATTCAACTTCACACTGTTCTGTGTATAATAGAATACTGCATAGAATGGCTGATTTACTCATATTTACAAAGGCCTACCTGTGAATTGGCTGAAGGAATGGGAGGAAGGAATATACATCAGTGGAGGCTGCTGAACAGAGGACGGCTCATCAAATGGCTAGAACGGCGCAAATGGAATGGCATCAAACACATAGAACACATTCCACTCATTCCGCAACAGCCATTACCACGAGCCCGTCCTCCCAAATGAAGGTGCCACCAGCCTCCTGTGATATACATGCATAATGATCTGTATGTCATTGTGTCAGTAAGGGGAAACACTGCATGAAACCTTCTTCAGTTAACAGACACCCACACTCTCCCTTCCTCACACACTCTCATAAACACACACACCACTCTCTCTCTCCCACAAACACACATACACACACTGCTCCCAACTTTTAAAAGGTTAGGCACTAAACAGAATTTAAGGAGCACCAGAAATAAATGTGTTTTTGATATAGTTTAGTCTACCATTAGGCCTATGTGAATCCTACCTTTTGAAGCACATCTCATGAGTAGCAGACCCTTTTCCTTTCTTCCTGTGCCAATCAAATTAGCCTAAACCTACTGTCCAGTTACCAGGTTGTTAACTAGCTAGATAACATGACTGAACAACGTTGTTTGTTATCAAACCAATAATTAGCGACCGGGATTAGTTTCAAACGGCCGGTGACATGGTTTGTGCAATTATATCAAATGCGCACGAATCCCGATAGAAAGAAAATAAGGCACCTCCGGTAATATGGGTCATTTAAAAAAAAATGTTTAGGCTAGAGACAAGCCGTAACAAATGTACAAATCTAACAACAGAAGACTCATCAGGGTCTGGGTCTGCATCCTCGCTCGCCACCACGGCAAAATTATATATCTATTTTTTTACTGATGGAGGAATAGACGCGGATAAAGAGCAGACGGAGAGAAGCAGGTGAGTGAGGGCTGGTAGGGGATGCTGCTGGCTGATTCCTGCTGCCACACTTGATATGCGCATGAAAGTGAAGTGGATATTATTGGACCTGCGCATATAAGAGACTAGTGGCTGTTAAATTCAACTGAATTTATAAACCAAACTGACTTTAAAACATTTTAAAACAGGCGCCAGCGGGTTCTTTAGCTCGGTAGGGCAGGTAAAGTCAGTAGTATCATATGAAATGGTACTACTTATTCTAAAATGTTGGTATCATAAGTATCATGACGTTTTGGCACCTTCATATTACCGTGGTACCGGTATACTGTGCAACACTAATGCACTATATAGGGAATAGGGTGCCATCGCTGAAGGGACCCAGGCAGACTCTCTGGCCTGCAGCGAGTTGGGTACCATACAAGTGAGGACTTTTTGGGGACCACAATTGATTCCCATTCAAAATCCTATTCTACCTAACCCTATTCTAACCATAACCCTAAACCCGAACCTCTAAGCCTAAAATAGCCTTTTTCCTAATTAGGACCGGCCAAATGTCCTCACTTGTCCTAATTCTAGTATAGTATAGAACAAGTATAGTAAAACAAAAAAACACACACACACACATTCCACCAGGGTTGTGGGTTCGATTCCCACGGGGGGCCAGTATGAAAAATGTATGCACTCACTAACTGTAAGTCGCTCTGGATAAGAGCGTCTGCTAAATGACTAAAATGTAAAATTTAGTAAGCTCTTTCTGTGTATAAAGTAGCATGGACATGTTGTCCCAGAAATGAATGCAATGCTTCTTTCTCTAGTTAAGCATGTGCACTACTGGCACACACACACACACACACACACACACACACACACACACACACCACAAGGCTCTCGTTAGCAGCCTAGTAACAGGGACTGGTTTGGTTTTTGGAAGGCACCACTGTTCCCAATGCACACAAGCACATATGAGCCAGGACAGAATGGGGGGAATTTCGCTCCAGGCATTCCTCCATCCCTCACTCCATCCTTCATTAATGTTTCACTACATGGCTTTTGAGAAGTGAAGTGAAAAGCCCAATGATCAGACAGACAGAGTGGGGTTTAGACTCACTGGTTAAATGGATCATTGTTCATCGTGTCATGTTGAGAAACCATTACTGGGGGGTCTCTTAAAGCAACACAACGACAAATAGCATCCTATTCCCTATGTAGTAGACTACATTAGACCTGGGCCCATAGGTAAATTCACTATGTAAGGTATAGGGTGCTATTTGGGATGTGACCAGTGTGATGAGAGAGCGCTGCTCTTTTTAACGACAGCTCGTTGAATTCAGTTGTTGTTGGAATGATCATTGGAAATACAATTACATTGCCCTGTTCAGACAGCCAATACTAACATGCTTTCATTTCAAACCTCAAACAGCCAAGGCTGAAATGAATTGACTGTGCCACATTCTCTGGTTGGTTGGGTTCCAGACTGGTTATTATGGATATCTTTGGCTTTAGTCTCTCTGAGGATAGAATCTTGCTGACAGACATTGTGTACGCATGGACGGATGTATTGTATGTAGCACCCTATTCCCTATATAGTACACTACTTTTGACCAGGCTCTGGGTATATAGGGAGTAGGGAACCATTTGGGACGGAACCTTGTTCTCTACTAGCAGTAGTTATGAGCGGGGTTGGGGGAGACGTTTGTGTAGTTAGTATTTCTGCAGACAGACAGTGATTTCATTTCCTGTGAGGACTATCAGCTCAGGTTTTAAAGGTGAATTGGCTCCTTGTCTGTAAGGACGTGAGACTAGCTAGACTCAATGATCTGTGAAATGGAAAGAAATGAAAGTCTTCGTCCCAACACGGAAAAACACACAGACTCACTTATATCCCCAGATGGGTTCCTCAGAACTTTCCCTTTTAAAATCCCACCAACCTTGGTACATTAGGTCAAATATTCTCTAGCCCGCTCTCTCACTCTCTAGCCCGCGCTCTGTAGCGCGCTCTCTCTCGCACACACGCTCGCTCTCTCTAGCCCGCTGTCTCTCTCTCTGTGTCTGATAGGATTTTCTACAAATTATTAACACCATTTAACATGGTGACCTTTTTAAAAATACTTTCCATGTTTTTAACTTCCTAAGCTGGACAAGTTGCATGGTGTATTACAGGGTTCCCCAACTGGCAGGTGGCCCGCAGGAGATTTTATTTGAGATTCAGAGAGGGGGAGAGAGAGCGCGATTGAGGGGGGGTAAAGAGGAGGTTGGTGGGGGTAAAGAGGAGGTGGGTGGGGGTGTAATGTGAAATGTCACAGATGTGATGATGAGGAAATGAGTGAAATGGTCTGACTGATACCCAGTGAGGTGGAAATGTAGGTTCATCTGGTCATATGGCACCGTACCGTACAGTCCTGTGTGTGTTTCCGTAGCATGGGAAAAGGGGCAGAACAGAGGGGCGTTGGCTGAGCATTTTATTGAAGGAGGGAATGAATGGGGGAAAAGGTGATGGTGGGGAGGAAGAATGAATGAGAGATGGAGGAGAAAGGAGAAAGGGAGTGGATGGATGTGCAGTCAGCAGAGAGAAGATTGGATCAATGAATAGGAGGTGTGGGGGGAGACATCACCCATCAAACCATGCTCTACTACTCTACTCATCCTTGGGATTTAGTACTAGGTGTGTGCACGCGCCTGCGTTCGATGTGTGTGCGTGTGCTTGCTGGTGTGTGTCTGTATCGTCATGGCCACCGAGCGAGAAGCAAATCAGCAGCCCACTCCTCTCTCCACTCTGCCCCCTCCACCTCAGTGACTTTACCCTGCTTTAGTCTAATTGAAAGACCTAGTGTGTCTCGTAACCCGCGTCACAAAGACTTACGGCAACATGCTGAGCTAGCCCCGCTTTACATTAGCTGTTCCTGTGGGACTGATTACAATACACACTGAACGTCTGATATGGGTTACGCCATACCCCCATTTTGCACCAATGAGATTATTTGATACTCTCTCTAAGGGATGGAGTGTATCTGGGTATTGAAATGGAATGGAATGGACTCACTTCTTGTTCATCGGTGTGTGTGTGTGTGTCTTCCCTCGTGTGTCCAGTCCACGTTTGTCTCTGTGAGTAGACATTAATAGGGGGTGACTGGAGCGTTATGTTGGGGGGGGGGACGCAGCCCGGAAGCGTTGCAATCAGAGGTGTGGGTGGATGATGTGCAACAGAGAGGAAAGAATGTGCTGGAGTGGGTTGCCATGTGTTCAGCCTGCCAGTGATAGACCCTTCCCCCTTCCCCTCAAGCTGCCTTCCTCATGGTGCTAGCTGTGATTGACAGATAGCCCCCCTCCCCATAACCCACCCTGGGCTCCTCTGTAGCCTGAGGAAGACACCAAGTGGTCACAGAGGAGAACTGCAAGAGGGTCTCTCACTGGTCTCTGCTCTTACGCTGACCTGCACGGCATGTCAGTGAGATTGATGACTTCATTTTTATTTAAAGATTACATAGGCTACTACAAGGCAAAGTGATTGGAACAGCACACAGTACACTGTTTCAGCTGTAAAGGTTGGGGAGAGAGACACCTAACTGTAAGTCCCTCTGGATAAGATCTGCTAAATGACTACAATATCAATGGAGATGAGAAAAGGATATATGGATGGAGATGAGAGGGAGGAAGAGCGAAAGGAAATGTAGACTGACATCATGCTGTACCTAAGTGGTCTTTATTAGGCAGATATTGCCCCTAACTCCAGATAGGCTATCATATTGCAACATATTGCCAAATTCTCAATTAACCTCTGACCTCAGAATGAATGTATCATCCCATATCTCCTCCCAGGTGCACCTAGCTACAGGTTGCATCCCAAAAGGGCACCCTATTCCCTACATAGTGCAATACTTTTGACCAGAGCCCTATGGGCCTGGTCAAATGTAGTGCACTATAAAGGGAATAGGGTGCCATTTGGAATGCAACTACCGTCTGCTACAGCTACAGGGCTGCATAATGCATTCTAATCTGCCTTTTTGGGCCGGTACTGTTACTCACCCTGAGTGGAGAAGAACTCATTTATCAGGGTCTGGGCTGGCGGACAGAGACAAGCCTAGCAAAGACCACTCTGCATCAACAGCAGAACAGTCAGCTTGACTAAAGACCTTGTCAGACCAGTCATGAGAGTTAGAGGTGGCCATAGAGGTCCTAATTAAATTACTAGTATTCTAATTATATGGCAGTGGACCCCACCTCCTAGGTCCCTCTAGCAGTAAATGACCCCTTATATATCCACACGTGCTGTCTGTCACATCTCATTCATTTCATATTCATCTAGCTTGGAGGAATCCGAGTCTGCGACAAGCTGTTAGAGAAGCTAACTCTGAATATGTACAGACAGAACAGTGAGACCTGGCTTGACTCCCTTCAATGTGGTTCAAAAGAAAATGAGTGGATTGTCTTCCTCACAAAGGATAGAGATTCTAAATGATATGTGGTGGTGGTCATCAATGATTGTAGTTGCCTTGATCCTATCACTAGGGGCCATAATCTCACTATGCACCAGGGGCGGAACAGTTAGGCTACTTCAGGTTAACTGACTGCACTCTGCGGACATATCAGTCTCTCAATCTACCTCTTAATTGGCCGAAAAGGTGAATACCTGAACTCTCTCTCTCTCTGACCCACTCCATAGAGGAGCTATGGGGGACTGACTGACTGGCTGGGCAATATCAGCTCAATGGATGGTGATCAGGGTCTTTATCTCCCCTCTGCACATGTTGTTTCTATCACACTGTTGTGAATGTAGAGAGCAGGATAAATATAGTGTCTATATACTCACACCCCGTCCTCAGTCCCTCCCTAACGACTAGTTCATCTGTCAAAACTCAACACTGTGACCTCTCTGGACTCATTGTGACCCAACGTCAGGGCATCGAGACCCTGTTTAATTATGCACACACACACACACACACACACACACACGCTGTCTGCTAGGAAAGGGAACTCTCACCACCACTTCCTTTTGTGGTCGTGTGTGCGCGTGCAATCATGTGTGTCCGTCTGGCAGAGGGAGAGATCCTATTTCCTCTGGCTTTCTGACCCTGCCAGTATCTCAAGTACCTCTACCTTGCGGGACAGACTTATAGAGCAAGGGAATGAGATAGCAAGCGGGGATAGACTGATAGAGAAAGAGAGGGACAGGAAGAGAGGGGTAACCAAGGGGGTCACTGTATTTGGAGGGCTGCAGCCGTCAGCCATGGTCCCTTTCAGTACGTTTAAAGGCTGCAGCAGGACAGAGGAGGAGGATGATGAGGTGTTTGTCTGCAGCCAAGGAAATAAGGTAACAGACGTATCAGAGATATCTGACAAGGTCTTTAGTTTGTCATAGTTGTGATATAGTAGGTCATACTTGATATCCACTGTCAGCTTTTACTTCAAAATGTAAGATGAAAATGTTTGCATGTTAAAAAATAGAATACATAGGCTATTGTCTATTGCTTCATAAAGTATCTTCTTTCATTTGGCTTAAATTGCCTATTTCAGCACTGTGTGGCAAACCTGCCAAGAGCTAAAAACTTGACAGAACTTTATTTAACTCTTACTTCATCCAGTCCATCCCATTTAGCAAATGAGGCCACCTCGTTTCTCTTTGCCTTCACTCTAGTAGTCGGTCTATTTCTGAGTTTGCTTGCTGTAGAGAGAGACCTCTTATTTTACTTCTCAACAGAACAGTGGAGAGAAGGGTAATTAGAATGCAAACAACTTCTTAGGGGAGTGTGTGTGTGTGTGTGTTAAGTACATTTCTGGAGTCCTTCCCTGCGGATGTGGACTTAAAAATATGAACTCTCAAAATGTTGTGGAGGAGAGAAATACATTCCGTTTAGAAATCACATTGATGTGGTATAGCAGTGAGCACTCTCCAAAAATTGTATTGATTTCTTCCATCCATGGACAAAACGCTGTCTGCATGCTCAAGCTTCCGCCTTCCCTCGCTAAAACATTCCTTCTCAGGAAAACACTACAGTTTGTCATTTAACACAGACAGTATTATCCAGCGCGACCTACAGTTAGTGCGTTCATCTTAAGATAGCTAGGTGAGACAACCACATATCTCAGTCATCGTAAGTACAATTTCCTTCAATAAAGTAATTATCATAATAAGTCGGTGCTAGTAGGAAAGACAAGTGCAGGTAAATGGGGGTGGCACCATGGGGTTTATTTAATATACATTTTGACCCCTTAACCTTTCCTTGGGGTACTTCATATCACTTTTGGCAGTTGATTTACATAGACTCTTATCATTCAATTCTCATTCTAATTCTCAGTTCCCCTGCTGAGTTTGGCCTTTGACAGCTGAGTTTCAATGTAAAATGTGCCTTACTATTATTTGTGCCTTGGGGCTCTTTGACTGACACCCAGCTGCTGGAAATATAGTAGGTCCCCACACGATGTAGCAAATTATTTTTACTGTACTTCACTAGAATCATACACAGACGTTTCGGTTAAGAGCCTTCTTCAGTGCGTCTTAACCCCCAGCTGCCAATGTCTTCTACCAATGCCACAGTCAGAACACTGGATAAGAATGGACAAACAACGGGGCCTCTCCTGGTGCAAACTTCACTCTGTTCCAGCGCAGCTCTACAGGATATTAAATAATTATTTTGGATAATATTCCTATTTTTCCAGGCCCAGCAGGAAGCCCCATCTGTTTCCATTCTAGGGAATGTCTGTCTGGCTGTGCTGTCCGGTGTTTTTACTCAAACTCCCTCCCTCCCTCCTCCCTGTCGCATTTCCTCTTGCATTCTTCACCTGCCAGGTTCTGCTTGTCTTCAATAAAAAGAGAATCCAGAACTAGGCAGCCAGCCTATGGCACTGAGTGCTATATGATGCATCTGTATTGGTCAGGTGCAGACATGGGTCCAAATACATAGGCCTACTGTGTTTAAGGTGTGCTCGATTTAACTTGGGAGTTTGCACTTTTGGGACTATTCTATTGGTTCCATTGTACAGTACACACGAAATCAAACACAGCTCAAATATTTGACACTGACAGTATGTGTTTGACCCATGGGGTCTAGTCAGGCGCTTTTCTATCGAGGTCTAGCTACGACCTATGTGATTAATACGGCCACTTTACACAATGTTAGTTTGACCCTTGGCCCACACCAGAGATGGCAGTCTGGTTACCACTACTGTACCTCAGCCTCACTATTCTATTCCGAAACCATCATATTTTAGTACATTTGATTCTCAGTAGTCATGGAAATCCTGTCTGTGTTGTTGTATGGGCCAGACTGAGTGGCATGTGAAACTGTTGACGGAGCCAACTTTCAGTTTCCCCCTAACCTTAATATACTAGCGTTTTGTAAATTTCCTCAAAATATAGGTTCACCAGCACTAGGCCAGCACTATGGCACCACTATTATGCAACATGCCTTCTTTCGTTTCTTGTCTTGACAATATATATCATAAACGACAGCTCAGCCAAAAGCCTTGTTTAGAGTCCAATGTTTCCAATGTTTAGAGTCTGAAGGTAGTTTTTAGAGCTTTTGTAGCCTGGAATCCAAATGGAATATCACTCTTTTTAACTATTGTTTCAACTGAGCAATATTCCGTTAAAATTCTAGGCTGAGAGGATTGTTTGTCTCCTTTCTGTCAGTGGGTACTTTGGTTTAGAGATTGACGCTTAGCTACTTAAGTGATAGGAAACCCTCCTTCTAGTGCTCTGTATCTTATCTGCCTACACTTCCTCTTTTAAACACCCCTTCAATTCCTCTCACCAGGGTAAGGACCCTCTGTTTTTTCTTCTTGAAATCATTCTCTCGATCTCCTAATGTGGGCATTGTATTTAATCCAATTATGGCCCATCAATGTCCAGTAATGATAAATCTTGAATCTTGATGTATTGCCCAGTAGTTTTTATTTTGAATGTCATGAAAAAAGTCAAGTTTATGCACAGGTGTGTGTGTATGGATTTTGCAACAAAATAAGGCATTTGACTGGCCTAACAAAGGATAGCTTGACTATAGTTGAAGTATGTAGGATAGATATTGGATACCATGCAGCATTGTTTTGAACAGATGGATAGAGTATGTTTCAACGTCCATCCGTACCACATGTCTGACTGCCAAAGCTGCCCATGCGTCCTCTTTCTACTTCATGCTTTGCTGTTGAGATTATATCACTGTATCTGTGGTCTGAAACTACCCTCTCCCATACTTCTCGCTCTGTAATGTACCTCCATAGTTCTCCATAAACTTCACCTCTCCGGTCAGTGCGTGCTGGGCATGCTACTTTGTTCGAGTTTTTCACAAGCGACTAACCTTTCCTCTCTATCCCTCTCCCCCTTCCAGACGACGTCTCCGGCGGGGCAGGGCCGGCCTGAGTCTCCTGTCTACACCAACCTCCAGGAGCTGAAGATCTCCCAGTCCAGCCTGCCCCCCCTTCCTTCCAGCTCTCCACTGCACATCCTCTGGGACTGGGAGACCCACAAGGACCTCACCGGCAGACACTTCTACTATAACAGAGCCACCGGAGAGCGCACGTGGAAACCGCCCCGCGCACGGGATGCTAGTGGCAGTGCCAGTAGTAGTCGGGGAGACCCCCACGGCACTGGAGAGATGGAGGTAGGTAACACACCCCTTGTGCGCCCCATCAAAACAGACCCACATTCCATTGACTGTCATGCTGTAGCATACTGTCGACACAGTCAGAGCTGAAGTTGAGCTGTAAGGAGAGAGAGAAAAGAGTTTGGTTTGGATCAAACTGAGGAAGTTCAACCCAGCATGTTGACCCCTGCCACTGATCTACAGTCTACCTAATATATCTGGCCCCCTAACGTATCAACAACTGCTCTGAAAGGTGGCCCTGGGTCCTACTGTTTACATTTACATTTTAGACATTTAGCAGACGCTCTTATCCAGAGCGACTTACAATTAGTGCATTCATCTTAAGATAGCTAGGTGGGACAACCACATCACAGTCGTAGTAAGTGTGTGGAGCAGCGGGGTGACAAGGGAGAACTTGGGAAGGTTGAACACCAGGCGGGCTGCGGCGTTCTGGATAAGTTGCAGGGGTGGACAAGCGGGGACCCCAGCCAACAGAGTTGCAGTAGTCTAGACGGGATATGACAAGTGCCTGGATTAGGACCTGTGCAGCTTCCTGTGTGAGGAAGGGTCTACTATACGGCTGTTGTAGAGAATGAACCTGCAGGAGCGAGTCACTGCTTTGATGTTGGCAGAGAACAACAGGGTGTTGTCCAGGGTCACGCCAAGCTTCTTTGCGCTCTGGGAGGGGGGACACCATGAAGTTATCTACCGTGATGGAGAAGTCTTTGAGCAGGCAGGCCTTCCCTGGGAGGAAGAGCATCTCCGTCTTGTTCGAGGTTGAGCTTGACGTGCTGGGCTGTCATCCAAGCTGAAAGGGGAAGGAGTTCAGGTGTTGAGGCTAAAGGGAGCGGTCTCGTGACTGGTTTGGTCTGGCCCGGTGGTAGTCCAGGTCCTATTACAGCTCTCCCTGTGTTTTTGAAACGGGGTGAGTGTGACTCTGTGTTAAATGAAACCAGGTCAGGACTGAAGTAGGTTTCAGGCCGACGAGGCCGTACTATATTTAAGTACCAGTTAGAGAGACGCTCTCCAAATATTTATGATTCATCCGATGTAATGCCACAGCTGACAGAAGCACAGATGGAATGCGTTCCAAATGCCACCCTATTCCCAATATAGTGCTATACTTTTGACCAAGGTCTATAGGGCTCTGGTTAAAATTAGTGCACTAAATAGGGAATAGGGTGACATCTGGGACATAATATGTGTCTACTCTGCATGTCACTTTCATATGATACTAATGTGGGAAACCTGAGGGAGAATGTACGGAGAGGAATAGATTATTTCCAACGACTGTAGAAGTTATGTTGTGGTAACTGTGGGCAGTGAAACAAGCTGGTGCTATTTTCATGAGGGCTAGGTAGTAAAATATACCAAGTCAGTAAAATATACCAAGTCAGTAAGAGTATCCTCAGTTTGGGTTTCATGTAGTGTTAGTGGTACAACACTGCCACCATGAGGTGGTTGAGTGTATTGCAACCAGGCAGGAAATATTAGAGTTGTAAATACACACTTATTTCCATAGTTGATCAAGTTCTCCTTTTCCTGGGGATTTAAGCCTTTATGGTGGTGGGATGCATGAATGCATAGTTGGATGTTTTCCTTTTTCAATAAATGTTCTTATTATGGGTACTTGGGCATCATTGATCATTCACTACTAAATCAAATAAATTGGTTCCGTACATATATTTTGCAGATATTTTTGTGGGTGTAGCGAAATGCTTATGTTCCTAGCTCCAACAGTGCAGTAATACCTAACAATACAAAACAATACACGCAAATCCCAAAAATAAAAAGGAATTAAGAAATATCCAGAATATAAGTATATATATATATATATATATATATATATATATATATATATATATATATATATATATATGTGATGGTGTGTATAGATATTATGGACCGTATATGAATAGAAAAGGTGTGTCCAGCAGTAGTTATATAGGATGAGCTTTGACTAGAATACAGTGTATACATATGAAGTGGGTACTAGCTTCTCTAAAGGCTCAACTAGAGCCATAGAGATATCAATCTATCTATCAGTCTACAGTGCATTCGGAAAGTATTCAGACCCCTTGACTTTTTCCACATTTTGTTACGTTACAGCCTTATTCTAAAATTGATTAAATTGTTTTTTTCATCAATACCCCATAATGACAAAGCTAAAACTGTTTTTTAGAAATTTTTGCAATTAAAATAAATAAATATATATATATATATATATATATATATATCTATATATACTGAAATATCACACTTAAGTATTCAGACCCTTTACTCAGTATGTTGTTGAAGCACCTTTGGCAGCAATTACAGCCTCAAGTCTTCTTGGGTATGACGCTACAAGCTTGGCACACCTGTATTTGGGGAGTTTCTCCCATTCTTCTCTGCAGATCCTCGCAAGCTTTGTCAGGTTGGATGGGGAGCGTCGCTGCACAACTATTTTCAGGTCTCTGGGCTCTGGCTGGGCCACTCAAGGACATTCAGAGACTTGTCCCAAAGCCACTCCTGCATTGTCTTGGCTGTGTGCTTAGGGTCGTTGTCCTGTTGGAAGGTGAACCTTCGCCCCAGTCTGAGGTCCTGAGCGCTCTGGAGCAGGTTTTTATCAAGGATCTCTCTGTACTTTGCTCCGTTCATCTTTCCCTCGATCCTGACTAGTCTCCCAGTCCCTGCCGCTGAAAAACATCCCCACAGCATGATGCTGCCACCACCATGCTTCACCGTAGGGATGGTGCCAGGTTTCCTCCAGACGTGACGCTTGGCATTCAGGCCAAAGAGTTCAATCTTGGTTTCGTCAGACCAGGGAATCTTGTTTCATTTGGTCTGAGAGTCTTTAGGTGCCTTTTGGCAAACTCCAAGCAGACTGTCATGTGCCTTTTACTGAGGAGTGGCTTCCGTCTGGCCACTCTACCATAAAGGCCTGATTGGTGGAGTGCTGCAGAGATGGTTGTCCTTCTGGAAGGTTCTCCCATCTCCACAGAGGAACTCTGGAGCTCTGTCAGAGTGACCATCGGATTCTTGGTCACCTCCCTGACCAAGGCCCTTCTCCCCCGATTGCTCAGTTTGGCCGGACAGCTCTAGGAAGAGTCTTGGTGATTCCAAACTTCTTCCATTTAAGAGTGATGGAGGCCACAGTGTTCTTGGGGACCTTCAATGCTGCAGACATATTTTTGGTACCCTTCCCCAGATCTCTGCCTTGACACAATCCTGTCTTGGAGCTCAATTCCTTCGACCTCATGGCTTGGTTTTTGCTCTGACATGCACTGTCAACTGTGGGACCTTATATAGACAGGTGTGTGTCTTTCCAAATCATGTCCAATCAATTGAATTTACCACAGGTGGACTCCAAGTTGTAGAAACATTTAAAGGATGATCAATGGAAACAGGATGGACCTGAGCTAAATTTCGAGTCTCATAGCAAAGGGTCTGAATACTTATGTAAAAAATTTCTAAAAACCTGTTTTTGCTTTGTCATGATGGGGTATTGTGTGTAGATTAATGAGATTTTTATTTTTATTTAATCCATTTTAGAATAAGGCTATAACGTAACAAACTGTGGAAAAAGTCAAGGGGTCTGAATACTTTCCGAATGCACTGTACATATGAAACTGAAAAAAAACCTCTGTTCTCCCCGAATCACAATGGTCTCTTTCTCTCCCTTTCTCCCATCTTTTGTTCCGCCTCCTCCTCTCCTCCTCCTCCCTGCTGCCCCATGCAGCCCCTGTCTTCCGAGGAGAACTGTCACAGCAGCACCTACTCCAGTCAGTCAGACAGTCAGTACGGCTCGCCCCCTAGAGGCTGGTCAGAGGAACTGGACGAACACGGACACACCCTCTATGTCTGTGAATATACTCATGAGAAGGTACTGGGGCTCTCCTTTCCTCCTTTGGTTTCACTCTCTCTGTTTCTCTGTCACTTCTCCCAGGGCTCTGGGTATTGTCACTGGTTCATGGGGTGATGGATCCTAAATCAATAAATTATGCATGTCTATGTACCCATGGCAGGACTGGCTTTGGGACTTTTGGTTGAGAGAAGTTGTTTTTGTTAGTTTCTTTACCTTTATTCGTGAACATTTTACCCTGCTGTTATCTGTGACAAGTAGTGTATTAGCAGTGTATTTCTGAAACTGTGATCAGTGCTGACTAGTGTTTGTGTTTGTAGTGGATAAAGCACGTGGACGAGCAGGGAAGGCCATACTACTACAGTGCTGATGGCTCCAGGTCCGAATGGGAGCTACCCAAAGTAAGTCAACATATCAATGTGTTGTGTTGTGCTGGCTCTGGTTCTGGTTTTACCTCCTATGCAGTGTTTTCCGTAAGCACATGGAGTAGCCAGACAAATAGAAAAAGTAGCCAGCAAGGGAGTTCCGGGTTGGGAGGGTCCGGGGGGGCATGCCCCCCGCAAATTTGTTTTGCAGAATGAGCTCTATTTTGATTCCATCCGAAATACACAGCTAAATTATTGAATACTTTAATGACTTTACCTCCCAGTTTGGTAAAAATGTGTTGTGGTATTGAGTAGAAAGACATGACTTTACAATTAAAATGACTGAAAATGTATAAATTCAGTGTGTTGGTGTTTTGGATATCGTCTAGGCCGATATGATCAGGACTATTTTCTAAGTAAGATAACCTTTTTTAACAGTAAACCCGTAATTCTCTTAAACCCGTAATTAAAGTCATATTCACAGTTTTACTGGAAAATATGATTTTTGTTCTTCAAATTACTGCAACGCTGCTGGGCTTTTCACGCTCAACAGTTTCCTGTGTGTATCAAGAATGGACTACCACCCAAAGGGCATCCAGCCAACTTGACACGACTTCGGGAAGCATTGGAGTCAACATGGGCCACCATCTCTGTGGAACGCTTTCGACACCTTGTAGGGTCCATGCCCCGACGAATTGAGGCTGTTCTGAGGGCAAAAAGGGGGTGCAACTCAATATTAGGAACGTTTTCCTAATGTTTTATACACTCAGTGTAACTATGTTGTATGATTTATAAATAGCAAAGGGATATAGGAGATGTACTTTATTCAGTCAGCTCGACACCTTTTTATAAACTAGACAACACTTGCTGTTCGGTCATCAATCAAAGCACGGTAGCCTAAATAGCCTATACGCCCCCACTCTGTGGCTTTATAGGCCTATGAAACACGCAAAATAAAATAAATGAATGTGCCACAAAACAATAATTAAGTGGATTTCAACTCATCGTTACCACTTCCATTGCATGGGACATGTACATTCGCTCACAAGGTGATGATGAAGAAGCATCATGCTCTCGCTCCTCCGTGAAAATACATTTGACCACAGCGCACAAAAATAACACTGATACCGAGAGGCAGGACAGACAGCAGACTGACAAACCAGCAGTCTTTCCCTGTCATCGCTCACTTTGTGACTGACAGGCGCCTGTCCTATGAATAGATCACTAGAAGATGCATATCGTTCATTCTAGCTGGGGAAGGCTATACGAAGGCTTTTCTGACAAGCGAATTGAAACTTTTAAGTGAAAAGAAGCCTAGTTAATTTATGAAGTGGAAAAAGTAGCCTGCTTACAATGAGTCTGTTATCAGCTTTTTAGCCGACGGTCGGCGCTTATGGAAAACACTGCTATGACACTACGACCTGATGGCACACTTCTTAGTGCCTCAGTCTATTTCCTCCCCGATGATCTACAGTAGTCTTCAGTCTCTGTCACCTGTGGTCCATTGACGGCGTGGAGGTTGTGCACTAATGTACTTGACAGGGACTATTAGTAGCTAGTGACTTTCCTGTAATCTTGTAGGTTTAGCAGGGATCAGACAGGTAGAGAATAGGCATTAGCTTTCGTTTGGCTGGCCAACCGGCGGGCTGAGTGGACGCACGCAGGGATACAGAGAGACAGACACACATACTGTAGATACAGATAAGCTGGGTGAAATGGTATCCTTTAGCAATCCTGGATTAATACACATGCGGGGAGCTCCTTCTCTCAGAGTAGGGTCCTACTGATGGGTGACTGATGATACGCTGGGCCATGAGAGGAGAGGTATGAAGAGGAGATACTGGATACATGCCAAGCCAGAGATCTTCTGGGACCTTTACTTTGTCATCTGATCAGTGGAGGATAACGAGTTAACCCTGGACCACTATTTCTCTCACCCTCACCCACCCCCCCTCTCTCTCTTTCTCTCTCTCTCTCGCTCGCTCGCTCTCTTTCTGTCCTCCTCTGACGTTCTCCACGGTCTCGCTCCCCTGTCTCCCTCCCTCTCTCCCTCCCTCCAGTACAACGTGTCTCCTCCCCAGCCAGGCGATCCCCCCAAAAGTCGTAGTCTGGAGCGGAAACAGCCAGACCCCATCGTCCTGACCAAGTGGAGACACAGCACCTACGTACTAGACCTCAATGACAAGGTAAGACCACATGCTCTCTGTCTATGTGTACAGTAACCTTCTTTCAGCAACTCCATGTTTACTGTTGTCAATTCCATTTCAATTCAGTCAATTCCGTAACTAAATTGAAATTCAAATTTTCCTCATTGATTTTCAATTAATTGAATGAATTGAATGGAACGGCCCCCAACCCTGGTTGTCACCAGTCACCACTTGTTTTGATGCTGTAAATAAGTTTGACGCTTCTCTGTAAGACTGTTCTTGAACCCTATCGAAGCCGTCTGGTCAGTAGTTATTCTGGTCAGTACAACAGGGGGTCAGTCTGGCCAGCATGTGGTCACTTCACATCCTCTTGGCCTTCTTTGGCTCTCAGTGAGTTTAATCCCTGAATACCTCATTGACAAATCCCAGTCACATGCAATGTTGGCTAAACCATGCTCTCCAAACATTCTCCTTGGGACTAGTCCATTTGTTCCATTGTACCTGGAAAAGTGAATCAGGTGCAGCCTTAGTATTTGAACATATTTGACGGATGTATTTGACCCAGGTCTTTGTGGTTCTGTTCCAGTTCTCTTTCAAAAAATGCAGGCGCTTTGACTCAAGCCATCACATGGGGAGAGCTGGTCGCACTCTTTACCGTGGTAAAGTTAGTATCCCCCGCTCTCACGCCTCCCCTCTTACCCCGCTTCCACCAATCCAGAGCGGAAATTATCAGATACCTACCTAATTGATGATTTAAACCAAAAAAGCAGTGTATGAGGTTGCCTCGCTAAATCTTGATCCTGAATCAATTCCTTTACTCAATAAAATATGCTGTGTTGATCTCTGTCTGTCTGTGAGTCAAACCAAATCATTTAGAGAATACATTTGACCATACCTTGAAAGTGAAACAAAGCCTTTAACTAACATATTTCCTTTTTTTTTTTTTTTTTTAACACAACCACTTCACAATAGCCTTTGCCAGTTTGACATCAGACAATCTGCCTTAAGTACCCAATGGTGCATCACTCTAGCTCACAGGTGTCAAACTCATTCCACCGCGGGACGAGTGTCTGTGAGTTTTCGCTACTCCCTTGTACTAGATTGATTAATTAAGGTCACTAATTAGTAAGGAACTCCCCACACCTGGTTGTCTAGGGCTTAATTGAACATAAAAACCAAAAACCTGCAGACACTAGGCCCTCCATGGAATGATTTTGTCACCCCTGCTCTAGCTACTATGGAAGATTTCTGCTCCAGATTCTTGATACATTTTCTCTTCCTCACCAACTAACCATAATCTAACCAGCCTCTTCATCCTACCTTCTCTAGTCTCCATCATCATCATGTTGACCTTGTTCTTTATCACTCTGTCTGTAGGAGTGTGGCCCTACAGCCCCCAAGCAGAGTTCTCCTGACTTTGACTCCTGTTAGTTTTCCCTGGCTTTGACTCCACAACATGCAACATCTAACATTTGATATCTCCTCTCTCTGGACACAATTGGTGCGTTCGTAATTTCACTCTGGCCATCTCCTCCGATTTCAGAGCACTCTCGTCCGAGTGTGCCAGAGCACAGAATAACTGATGAATTTACGAATGCTCAACACCCGTTGAATATGGCTGGTGTCGGTAAACGTTGGCAAAAAAGCGTAATTAAATTGTTGCCAGCAGCACAGCTACAGTCACCAACACTCTGGTTAACATGAAAACAACCTAACCAGCTCTGCAAGGGCAAGGAAAATGTTCAGAGTGAGGTGTCTGGAAGTAGCTAGCAAACTAGCCAATGTTAGCAAGTTCGCTTGGGTGCTTGACTGCAGTTGTAAGGTCAGAACGCTCGGATCAACCCTACTCCTCGGCCAGAGCGTCCAGTGTGCGCTCTGAATGCTCCGAGAGCAAAACGCTATGAATTTACGAACTGACAATCTGACAACACTCTGAATTTACGAATGCCCAGAGCGCACTCTGGCACTCCAGATTGAATTTACAAACACATCCAATGTCTCACCAATGTGACATCACCATGTAACTGAACAGCAGCAGTTAGGATGATTTTGTTTTTAGTGAACAGTTTGGTTGTTTCAATACAGTGCTGTGTTCTCCACATCTGTTTTTCCTTTGAGAAGATTGTTTGATTTTGATATTTTGAGAGATTGATCAACCTGGATCTGAAAGCCAACTAGTCTACTAAAGCCTTGTTCACATTGGCAGTTTGAAGTGAATCTGTTCTTTTTCCTGCAGTCTGAACAGCCAAAAAGCACATGGAATCAAATATTTCAAGACACATTTCAAACCACCTTCGTAGGTGGTTTCAAATCAGATACAAATCTGATTCCTGGCCATGTGACTTGTCTGAACGGTCAAATCTGATTTATTTGCCATCAAGTGGTTTTTAGACTGTTATTCAGCATATCTGGTTGCTTGCTAGCTACTCTTCTGACAGCTTGACAAGAACATGTGGTAGCTAACTAGCTTTAGTGAATGTGCTAGAAAGCTAAACTTCTACCTAGCTAGCTAGTTGACTGCTGTGGCTAGCAGTTGGATCATGTTATCCTTTGAGGCTTTTAAAGTGTTCTTACCCTATGATTTTGAACATTCAAAGCAAATGGGAAACGTCCATGGCAGGCATTGTTGTCACCTTAGGTTGCTACATAGCTTCTGAGTGATAGGAAGCACGAGCACCACCACCGACAGTCAGTAGTCCAAAACTGATTTAAAAAACGAAACTGATTTGAGCATCAAGGCCTGCAGTGTGAACAGGTTTAAGTCGTCTTGATCATCTGGCAAGAAACAAGAAGCAGCAAGGGCAGGGTTGAGGGGCTAGGACATAAGGACAACAAGGAGGAAAAATAGAGGATAAAACCAACAGATATATATATATATATATGTACACTACCGTTCAAAAGTTGCAATTTCTTTGTCCATTAAAATAACATCAAATTTAACCGAAATACAGTGTACAGTGGGGAAAAAAAGTATTTAGTCAGCCACCAATTGTGCAAGTTCTCCCACTTAAAAAGATGAGAGAGGCCTGTAATTTTCATCATAGGTACACTTCAACTATGACAGACAAAATGAGAAAAATAAATCCTGAAAATCACATTGTAGGATTTTTAATGAATTTATTTGCAAATTATGGTGGAAAATAAGTATTTGGTCAATAACAAAAGTTTCTCAATACTTTGTTATATACCCTTTGTTGGCAATGACACAGGTCAAACGTTTTCTGTAAGTCTTCACAAGGTGTTCACACACTGTTGCTGGTATTTTAGCCCATTCCTCCATGCAGATCTCCTCTAGAGCAGTGATGTTTTGGGGCTGTCGCTGGGCAACACGGACTTTCAACTCCCTCCAAAGATTTTCTATGGGGTTGAGATCTGGAGACTGGCTAGGCCACTCCAGGACCTTGAAATGCTTCTTATGAAGCCACTCCTTCATTGCCCGGGCGGTCTGTTTGGGATCATTGTCATGCTGAAAGACCCAGCCACGTTTCATCTTCAATGCCCTTGCTGATGGAAGGAGGTTTTCACTCAAAATCTCACGATACATGGCCCCATTCATTCTTTCCTTTACACGGATCAGTCGTCCTGGTCCCTTTGCAGAAAAACAGCCCCAAAGCATGATGTTTTCACCCCAATGCTTCACAGTAGGTATGGTGTTCTTTGGATGCAACTCAGCATTCTTTGTCCTCCAAACACAACGAGTTGAGTTTTTACCAAAAAGTTATATTTTGGTTTCATCTGACCATATGACATTCTCCCAATCCTCTTCTGGATCATCCAAATGCACTCTAGCAAACTTCAGACGGGCCTGGACATGTACTGGCTTAAGCAGGGGGGCACTGCAGGATTTGAGTCCCTGGCGGCGTAGTGTGTTACTGATGGATCGGCTTCGTTACTTTGGTCCCAGCTCTCTGCAGGTCATTCACTAGGTCCCCCCGTGTGGTTCTGGGATTTTTGCTCACCGTTCTTGTGATCATTTTGACCCCACAGGGTGAGATCTTGCGTGGAGCCCCAGATCGAGGGAGATTATCGGTCTTGTATGTCTTCCATTTCCTAATAATTGCTCCCACAGTTGATTTCTTCAAACCAAGCTGCTTACCTATTGCAGATTCAGTCTTCCCAGCCTGGTGCAGGTCTACAATTTTGTTTCTGGTGTCCTTTGACAGCTCTTTGGTCTTGGCCATAGTGGAGTTTGGAGTGTGACTGTTTGAGGTTGTGGACAGGTGTCTTTTATACTGATAACAAGTTCAAACAGGTGCCATTAATACAGGTAACGAGTGGAGGACAGAGGAGCCTCTTAAAGAAGAAGTTACAGGTCTGTGAGAGCCAGAAATCTTGCTTGTTTGTAGGTGACCAAATACTTATTTTCCACCATAATTTGCAAATAAATTCATTAAAAATCCTACTATGTGATTTTCTGGAAAATAAATGCTCAATTTGTCTGTCATAGTTGACGTGTACCTATGATGAAAATTACAGGCCTCTCTCATCTTTTTAAGTGGGAGAACTTGCACAATTGGTGGCTGACTAAATACTTTTTTTCCCCACTGTACATTTACATTTACATTTTAGTCATTTAGCAGACGCTCTTATCCAGAGCGACTTACAGTTAGTGAATACATATTTTTTTTATACTGGCCCCCCGTGGGAATCGAACCCACAACCCCTGGCGTTGCAAACGCCATGCTCTATCAACTGAGCTACATCCCTGCCGGCCATTCCCTCCCCTACCCTGGATGACGCTGGGCCAATTGTGCGGCGCCCATGAGTCTCCCGGTCGCGGCCGGCTGCGACAGAGCCTGTAGACATTGTTAATGTTGTAAATGGCTATTGTAGCTGAAAACAGTTTATTTTTTATGGAATATCTATATAGACGTACAGAGGCCCATTATCAGCAACCATCAGTCCTGTGGTCCAATGGCATGTTGTGTTTGCTAATCCATGCTTATCATTTAAAAAGGCAAATTGATCATTAGAAAACCCTTTTGCAATTATGTTAGCACAGCTGAAAAATATTCCTAATCCTGGAGTCGCCTCTTCACTGTTGACGTTGAGACTGGTGTTTTGCGGGTACTATTTAATGAAGCTGCCAGTTGAGGACCTGTGAGGTATCTGTTTCTCAAACTAGACACTCTAATGTATTTGTCCTCTTGCTCAGTTGTGCACCGGGGCCTCCCACTCCACTTTCTATTCTGGTTAGAGACAGTTTGCGCTGTTCTGTGAAGGGAGTAGTACACAACGTTGTACGAGATCTTCCGTTTCTTGGCAATTTCTCGCATGGAATAGCCTTCATTTCTCAGAACAAGAATAGACTGATGAGTTTCAGAAGAAAGTTCTTTGTTTCTGGCCATTTTGAGCCTGTAATCGAACCCACAATTGCTGATGCTCCAGATACTCAACTAGTCTCAAGAAGGCCAGTTTTATTGCTTCTTTAATCAGCACAACAGTTTTCAGCTGTGCTAACATAATTGCAAAAGGGTTTTCTAATGATCAATTAGCCTTTTAAAATAATAAACTTGGATTAGCAAACACAACGTGCCATTGGAACACAGGACTGATGGTTGCTGATAATGGGCCTCTGTACACCTATGTAGATATTACATTAAAAATCAGCCGTTTACAGCTACAATAGACATTTACAACATTAACAATGTCTACACTGTATTTCTGATCTATTTGATGTTATTTTAATGGACAAAATAAAATTGCTTTTCTTTCGAAATCAAGGAAATGTCTAAGTGATCCCAAAAAGTGACAAAACTTTACGAACTTAAATATAAATTTAACGGTATTGAAATCATACCGTTGGTAATTTGAAAAACCCTGGTATGCGGTATAAAAGATATATCGCCCAAACCTCTTTCTTTCTCTCCTGCATGTGTTCTTTCTGTCTCTATCTGCTACCGTAGCCAACTTCCTTTTCTAATGTCCAATCTCCTTTAGTTTATGTTGTGTTTCTCTGTTACGGTAATGTCTGTCACCTTGTGGGATGATTGATCACGAACCGTTTGAATCAGTAGATTGTGTGTCTGTGTCAAACCATGTCTGTTTGTATGGGCATCACACCCATTTCACTGCCCCATTTCTTCTAGGACTTTTTGTGTGTGTGTGTGTGTGTGTGAGTGAGTGTCTTTGTGTCATTGTGTTTGCATGTGTGTACATCAGTACATGTGTGTGTTAGTGTGTGCTCAAGGCATGAGTCTCATTATGTTGTTATAATATTTTTTCTGTATCTCACGGCCGCTGGCTGTGTTTTCCTTCTCCCCTGCTGTGTGGGTGTGGGTGTGGGTTTGTGGTGTGTGTGTGTGTGTGTGTGTGTGTGTGTGCGTGTGTGCGTGTGTGCGTGTGTGCGTGCGTGCGTGCGTGCGTGCGTGCGTGCGTGCGTGCGTGCGTGCGTGTGTGTGTGTGTGTGTGCGTAAACCTCCTGGGTCTGACTGTGTTAATGTCTCCTGTCTGTCTCCCTCCACAGCCCTCTGAGAAGTGTGGAGTCCTCAACGTCACCAAAATCACTGAGAATGGCAAGAAAGTCCGGTAAGCCATATTGTACAAAGATCATGTAGATTAGATTAGAAAAACATTATAATTATCTTATGAGGAAGTTAGAGAACAATACAGCATCATACAGACAAACAAAACATTGTCATTGATTAATTTTTTGAAATAATGGACAGACTGATGGTTGATAAATGGTTGTGTTGGGGCTAGAGTTGCAAATGGAGGGTATATTATTCGAAACTTTAAGTTTACCAGTAAACTACCAGAATTTTGGTATCTTTCAAAGATTGTATGTAATCTATTACAAGACATCTAGTGGCTGTTTGGGGTAATTTAGATTATCACAGGTGTCTGTAATAATCTCTGGCCCTCTGTGTGGCCTTATCACATAAAATAATTAAATAACACATTTGAATGACAAAGCTGTAAAGCATCCTAATTATTAGGGCTGACACCATTTAGTCGACTGGCCGATTGTTTGGTCGATAGGCTGTTGGTTGACCAAGATTTTTATAGACGAGCAGTAGCAAAAAAATTATATATATATATATATATATATATATATATATATATATATATATATATATATATATATATATATATATATATATATATATATATAATGGTGTACAAGAAACCTGTCTGATTCGCGCCTGTCTGAGTGGACTGATCCATTGTGGATTCCCTGGGGATGGCACAGTCCATCAGTCCAAGACATGTGCTACTTAAATTGTATATGGTTATATTATGTAAGAACAATGGTGAAACACAAAAAATATATATATTATATAATTTTATAACAAATGCGCTTTCTCTCGCGTTGGATAGTGGTCACTGTCCGCAGTTCTGAAACACATCAGTGCGCTGTTGAATTGGCGCCTTTTCCTAGACCATGTTGCTATGTGCATAATAGCAAAGTTAACCAGCATATTGGTGTTGAGAACAATGCGGCAGAGGCAGCAGCAGAGTTAGGAGACGAGAAAACAGCCCTTGCCTTAATTGTCTAAGAAAAGTGAGGCGAGAGGAAACCCCAACTTAATTAGGTCTATAATCAATAGCCTAACTGTTAAATGTGCCTGCTTTATAAATCATCCATATATATCTACAGAAATAAGACAGATCCTGCTTCTGTTGCCTGTTTGAGTGTTTGGTTGATAGCCTACTGATTCCGTGAGCACCAATACTCACGCAACAATTTCACAAATTCTGCTGTTTTTTATTGGCTATGCTGTAATAAAGGCTTTACACTTTATTTCGTTAGACCAGCCTCTGATATTATTTGTAATTTATTTAGTGTTGGTCGAAAGAACAGACGACTCTTTTTTAGTCAGGGACAGCCCTACTAAATATAAACCATCAACTTAGTGAATACCATTGTTGTTAATATGAGGGTTTCAGCATGAAATATCTGTATTATTATTTTATTTTTTTAAATTTACACACGTATTTATTTTACTATGTCAGTATGTATGTGTTGTCAATGTTTTAGCGTCAAACTAGTGGCAGTTGTGAAAATAAATCTATAGTTGGGATTGTTGGAGAGTTCATTTAAAATAATGCCATTGTTGAATAGATGCTTTTTTCATTAATTAGCTATTTTCTCTTGAAACATATGGTATATCGCAGGTTTTCCCAAACTAGGGTTCGCCTGATATGAAAATGGGGTTGCGAGAGATAGTTTGAGCTTGGTTCATAGAACCGTGGTTACCTCAGTAACCTCCGGTAGCCGCTCGATGCGGTTGTAATAAACAGTTTGGTTTCTTTTTTCTTCCTACAAATACAAATTCAGTGACCCCATCACTGAAAGATAAGACTCTCAGGAACACGTACGTACGTACTGTTTCCCTCTACTATTCATTAGAACCTAGTGGACAAGACCAGGCACTAAATCAGACTAGGGGGAAAATAACATATTTTCTACACAGAAGATCATACAGCATTATTGCCTGATGATCATCTGAACTTCCCAGTACCTTTCTGATGCATTTCAGTCACTTCAAATCATACTTTCTTCAGATTGAAATACTGTTAAAAAAAAAATACTGTCAGACTGATTTGTAATAGACTGTCATAGGCCAAATTTAAAAAAGTAAACATTTGCCGTCCTGTGTGGCTCCGTTGGTAAAGCATGGTGCATGCAACGCCAGGGTTGTGGGTTTGATTCCCACGGGGGACCAGTACGGGAAAAAGTACAAAAATGTATGCACTCACTACTGTAAGTCACTCTGGATAAGAGCGTCTGCTAAATGACTAAAATGTAAAAAATAAATAAAAATGGAAATGATTACATAACTTTCTTTACATGGTGGGGTCGAAAAAAGTTTTTATCTCAAAACGGGGTCGCGGGCCAAAAAAGTTTGGGAACCAGGGGTCGCGGGCCATCTACTAGAAACTAATGGACAATATGTTCACAGATATAAAAACTGAATACTATATATGATTATTTTTTTTACAAGTTATTCAAGTAAACATTACCAAAGTAACGATAGATTATCATATATTTTCTTTTAATTACCAAAATTACTGAAGATTCCGGTAACTTTGGTAAATTACCAGTAGCTTTGCAACCCAAGTTGGGACTGGTTGATAAATGGTTGTTCTGACGTGGTTGATGGTTTTATAAATGGTTGTGTTGTGACATGGTTCTAACAGGAAGAACTGGACATCTTCGTGGACAGTATTACAGGGCTCCTCACTGCTCTTCGCTAAAGGACAGGGGAGTGGCACCAGCTGGGTACGTACCCCATCAGCCGCCTTGTTAGGAACCGTCTTGGGTTAAAAAATGTGGCAGAGTTTGTACAGTTGACAGTTAATTTTTTCTAAAATCAAATTAGAGCTGAATACCTCCCCTACTTTTCCAATAACCTGCAGGAGTTTTTAGTGCCTAAGAACTACCTGGTTGGCTGTCTATCTCCATTTAGTAGTAGTGCACCATACCTCTTTCTATCTGCTCTTTAGTTTCCCTTCTTCTCTCATCTGTCTGTGACTCTTTATTTCTCATTTGCCGTTCTTCCCTCACCTTCTCCTCTCTTACTCTCTCGTTTTCCTCTCCTTCCTCCTCCACTCTTTCCTCTCCTCATCCAAAGCCGTCCTACCGTAGTGGCTCCATCCCTGAGCTGCTGCTCACTCTGCTGGCCAACTGGAAGCGTTCGGTCAAGCCCCGCCCAGCTGTCTCCTATGTCCACTCTGTCCATGGGCGTGCCCCAGCTGCCACTGTATGTCTCCTCTGTCCCTGTGCATGTGTTCCATTTGTCCCTCTGCCTGTCCGTCATGCTCACACTATCCCCCCGCCCTATCCCCTGCCTGCTGCTCATAACCTAACCTGATTGGTTGACCAAGGGATTTCGGAGGGAACTTTGAGTTTGAGGCATGCGTTTCCTCTGGGTTATTCCCCCCGCCCCCCCCCCCCCCCCCCCCCCCGCCACATCTATTTCCATGGGCACAAGCACTGTTCATGACACAAACTGTTCACACCCCTCTTGTTGGTGGAGAGAATGTTGCAGGTTGAAAGCTTATTTCCTGCAATTCTACACATTTTGTCATGGGGTGCAAAGAACATTTTGCAGTTGTAAAACAAATTTTCTTGCCATTCTATACATTTTGCCATGTCTAATGTGTATTCATGTGATATTTGAGTGACAAAAAATTACAACAATATCTGTGGGCTAAAAAACCTAAATATAAAAACTTTAGCTGACATGGGCTAGTTGATCTGAACATTTCTGACAAGTTCTAAATAGCTCTCTAAGGTATGCAATGACTAACATGACAAGAGGAACTGATGATGCAATACCCAATTTAGAAATTGCACCTTGTGCATTCTACTATTACAACTTTCAAAGCCGGACTGAGTTTCTTAAAATGAAACATATTGTTATTATTATTATTATATATATTATTATTTTTTTATTGTGGGGGGGTGGGGGGCCCAGCGCCCCCCTTGCTGACCCCTCTGGGGGTTTGGCCTAGATAAAGGTGTTGTTGATATGCATACAATACTAACCTACTGAGTACAACAAAAATGAGATAACAGTTGAACTTCCTCATAATACTGTACTAAATGTCCAGCTTGCAACACAGTGGTGTGAATACGATCACCCGTGTTTATCTTAAAGTCAACGTAGCACTTAATAACTACGTATAACTATAACACAGTAACTTGTAACAACACTGCTTTGGTTGTTTTTAATGCGTCTTGAAATAACTGTGAAAAATATTCATTAAAGATTTACCACTATTACTATCCTTGAGCTGGAAACCCAGCTCTCATCTGATTTGTCTGAATGTTGAATTATTTCCTTGTAGAAGTTTGTGGGTAACCAGTCAAAGCCGGAGTTCACTGTGGATCTCAGAGGGGGGTCAGTGGATTGGGCATCCAAGGATAAGTCCAGCAAGAAGCACGTTATTGAACTGAAGACCCGTCAGGGGACAGAGCTGCTGATCCAATCAGAAATCGACAGCGTCATCAACGACTGGTACCGAACCCTGACAGACACCATCAGCACACATGTGAGTGGACCTCTCTCTCTTCAGTCCAGAGCGTAGTAACTACCACACCTGTATTTCCCAAGTCATAATCAAATCCTGCGCTAGCTTGCTCGGTTTAGATGTCCGTCAGAGGGACTAGTAAAGTACAGTACAAGCCAATTACGCTCTATAATCTCTGTAATGAGGGTCTTCTGAAAATGCATTTAGTTTTTATCTGTTTAGGTCCAGGTTGACTTCCCTAACGGATGTTGTTTGTTTGTGTGTGTGTGTGTGTGTGTGTGTGTGTGGGGACAGGCATGGGAGTCAGATGAGGCCATAGAGGAGGACATGCCTGAGTCCCCCGGGGCAGAGAAACAAGACAAGGAGAAAGACCACCGAGACGCCAAGAAAAACAGAGGTGCCTTGACTAAATACGCTGTGTGTGTGTGAGAGAGAGTGTGTGGGTGTCTTTGTGCGTTTTAGTGATCTAAGAAGGTATTGTCACCAAATTCCCTCTTTAGTACCCATTTAGTCATTTTCCCTCCATATGGTTTCAGCGATGAAGACGTCTATCAGTATGGACTCCTCTGACCAGAAGAAGACTAGAGTGAAGCTGAAGAAGTTCCTGACCCGCCGACCCACCTACCAGGCCGTCAAGGACAAGGGCTACATTAAAGGTATGGATGGAGATTTGGTTATGGGTTCCGAGAATGGACTTACAGCTGTCCTCAACTAGAGGAAGCTAAGCGTAGTGATAAAACCCTTGATAACGAGAAACATTGTCATTTGACGTCGCTCTGTGTTGTCTCTCAGACCAGGTGTTTGGCTGCAGTCTGAGCAGCCTGTGTCAGAGGGAGAACACGTCCGTGCCCAGCTTTGTCACCACGTGCATCGACCACGTGGAGAACACAGGTACGAGCCATCCATCTCTGTCCCTTTATATGTTCCCTCTCTCTGTCTTTTTAATTGTGATTAGAATTTTTCCAGAGAAAGATGTCAAGATTTGTGTATTGATATTTGTGTGCTCAGTCACAAACATGAATTCTAATGCTGTTTCTCTGTCTGTCTCTCTGTCTGTCTCTATCTCTCCATCTCCCTCTACCTTCTTCTACAGGTCTGAGTATAGATGGCATATACAGAGTGAGTGGGAACCTAGCGGTGATACAGAAGCTGCGCTTCGCTGTGAATCACGGTAGGGCTTTTCTCCCTTCAATGATATAATATGATGTTATAGCTTTTTACAGTAGCTTTGGTTCATGGTTAGTGACGAAGTAACTGGAGATATAGTCATTTTCTAAAGAAGTTTCGGTGTCAGTCAGTCCAACAGTAACTTGTGTTGTGATACTCGATTCTTGAACAGACCATGATATCTTGTCTTAAAGCTTGCCTGACTGTGTCTCTGTTTCCCAGATGAAAAGTTAGAGCTGGATGACAGTAAGTGGGAGGACATCCACGTCACCACGGGAGCCCTGAAGATGTTCTTCAGAGAGCTGCCTGAACCACTCTTCACCTACGACTCCTTCAACGACTTTATCAATGCCATCAGTGAGTAGTAACATACTTAACTACACTGTAACACACTTTACTGTGCTGTATAACACTGTACTTTACTGTATGCTTGTCCTACTGAGACACTGTTTCTAATAGTTAAATTAAGGTTTGATGGTTTGCCTAAAGACAATGGCCATTAAGACATTGACTTCATGCTCAATTTACCACTTGGTTTAGGTGATTCCAAATATTTGCTGTTTGAAATGTGTCCACAAGATGGCGCCCTAGTCAATTAGGATAATGTAAATCAGGGGTTATTTCTATTTTGGGGGGGGACACACACACACACACACACACAAAATACTATAAAAACACCAGCAAATCAGCTCCAAGTGATTTTAATTTTTGAAATCTGTTCCAAAGTATTCCTATGCATAATTAAGCAATAAGGCACAAGGGGCAGTGCTGTATCATGAATACAGTCACAGGTAAATGGCGTTGTTTTATTTACCTGTGACTGTCTGTATTCATGATACAGCACTGCCTCACGTGACTTATTGGTTTTACAAAACTGTTACCAACATATTAAAATAACAATGAATTAAACATTTTCATTAAAACGTTATTTTGATAAGTAAATTCATACAATTTCATTCTTCCACCAGAAAAATCTGGTTGTTAGTTATTTTGGTCATGTTGCTACAGATGTGACCCAGTCCTTAATTATTTTTTCATAGTTGCTGTGCAAAAGGACTGGTCGTCCGTTCTAAACAAAATGTTTGCTATGCAGGCTGGATAACGTTATTGTCACTAGCCAACTTCAAGTAACTGAGTAACGTCAAACATTGAACCTGGAATGACAATACACTAGCTGCATTTTCATTTGTTAGAACTTTTTTTCTATTGGCATTTACTTGGATATGTCCAGGATAATGAAGGTGATGCGTGATTTCGCCTGGCTCAAAAAAAAATGTATAGTCTCATCTGGGCACAGTTCATTCTCTATGGTACAGAGATCGACATTCAAAAGTGAAACATTGTTCCCGAGGTCGGACAGGCAAAAAGCAAGGTTTATAATAACCCCCGTTGTACCAAACTAAATGCTAGGCTGGAAGCAAGGGAAAATAATGTGCGAGTTGAGATAAATACAAGAGATGATTCATACAGCAACATGAACATGATACTCTTATGAGACACAGTGATCATTTTCAGATGGAACTGTAAGCAGACCTAGTGTGACTGTGTTGGCCAATACAACATGACTAGGAACGCTGCTTGTCCAATCAGCATCCAGGGTCCAAACAACCAGTTTTATAATAGAGAGATATATGTGATCGTATACAAATGTAAGCAAGATTTGAAATGATTATGTTTTAGTCAAATGTTATATCTGTTTGGGATTCTTGCAGTCAATTTGAAGTATAAAAATTATTTGTAATTATGTTCCGGCCCCCTGACCATCCATCCGCTCAAGAAAAAATCGCCCCGTGGCTAAATCTAGTTAATAATGATCCCTGATGTAAATGCTGTGTTTTTCCTTATGCAGTGAAACGAATGGTGTTTTACTTTTCCCTCTCTTCCAGAATGCTCGGATTACAAGCAGCGAGTAAATGTAATAAAAGACTTAATCAAGCAGTTGCCAAAACCGAATCACGACACAATGCAATGCCTCTTCAAACATCTCAGAAGGTAAGGAAAAAGCATGCAACATTTCGGCTAAAATGCGATATTACCCAAAGTATTTTGATCGCATTTTGCATATTGTGTTTTTCGAATACTAGCAGTAGGTTACATAATACATGTAGAGTTTTGTCTCCAGTGTGTACCTGAACCCTTTGTTGACCAACCAACATATGTAATGTGTTTCCTAAATGATAGGCCTATCTCACCATAACGGACCATAGGGCAGTTCGGGAAAATGCCAGATGGGCTGGTCCATCTTTAGCCCAGTGGGCCTGTCTAAATTGTCGTCCTCTCCTTCCTGTCTCTCTCCAGGGTGATTGACCATGGAGAGGCCAACCGTATGACGACCCAGAGCGTAGCGATCGTCTTCGGCCCCACCCTGCTCAGACCTGAGACCGAGACGGGGAACATCGCTGTTCACATGGTCTATCAGAACCAGATTGTTGAGCTCATCTTACTGGAGTACGAGAACATCTTCGGCAGGTAGAAAATAAACACCTGATGAAGAGACCTGAGAAAGAGGATGGTCTGGTGACTGGTCGGACCCAATTCTGCTTATTTTTGTGACTGAAACATTGCTGCTGTGGACCAAGCAATTTAAAGAAAGAAAAACAAAAATGTAATTATTGTTCATTTGATAATAAGATTAATAAAGGAAGCTAGTGAACGACTTTGCACTTAACATTTTGAGAGAGCTGAGTATGATGTAAATAAATACAGATTTAATTCCCTTTGGTTGCCATGCCTGCTGCGAGTAGCAGAGCGGAGCCATTGCTTCAAGAGGAGGGTGTTGATTGGTTGGTTAGTTGGTTGGTGAGCTGGCTGGATCTAAGACCGTGTCGTCATTGCCATGACGACAGACGGAGTGCAGTGTGAATGGTGTGGATGGATCTCCCTCGATGTGATGTGATCCAGTGGATTTGAGTATTCAGGGTATAACTGTGTTTTACACTGGATTCCTATGGCCAGTATTAAGTACATGCGACATAAAACAAGAGCTTGGTGAATAAGACTAATTGTTTTGGACTGGAGTGGAACTGAAGAAGAGTATTGTGGGATACATTGATGTGGCCCACCGGAGTGACTTCCTCCTTTCTCTGATGACATCAAGACACATTAACTGGCACAGCGCACTCCAGATCATTCAAACAGCAACAACTACCCACTGAATTACTGGCTGGATGGTCTCTCCCTCTCTGTCAAATCAATGGAAGCCTATATCCTGCTACTACCATGTGGTATAGTAAAGACCAAGCTTGGTTGTGTGTATTAAGACTACTCTCATTGCTTTGTGTTTGAATAATAATAAGCTGAACCTCTGAACTGTATATTCTCAGTGTTGTGGAACATTGACCTCTGACTAGGGCTGTTGTGGTGATCCTATTACTGCCACACCTGCAGTCATGAGTCATGACCACAGTCAAATTCCTTGTGACCATTGGTCAAGGTCATCTCATTTTATGCACTCTGGACATGCTTTTGTAGTACACAACTTGCTAACTACCATCAGGTTGTAATGGCCTGGTACTCTGGGCTCTATTGTCTCTCTAACCACTCTGGCATTAATGCAAATGCGATCGAAAAATCACATCAAACACTTATCATCAAAACAGTAGGCCTATACAGTGTAGTGCTTTTAAAACTCACCGCACTGTGATGATCAGTTTGAAGAAAGAAGTTCCACAGCCGGTTGAAACAGTGTAAAACATGGTTGTTGTGGATGTTATTTCAAAGCCTAACACAACGAAATGGACAGCGCTTTCTAAGGTGATGATTAATTCAAAACACCATATGCATATTAGAGCTTATGCATAGTCTTATGAGGCCAAGCCCGAAAAAAAAATAAACTGAATAAAATTATAATATTGCCTTTATACAATACATAGCCTAACACATATTACCATGGCAGAAAAACATAAAAGAAAACTGATTTAAGATTTCTTTGGTACATAATTGGTCTAGCCTTTGAGTGTGGACTGCATTATTATGCATACTGGATGGACTGGTTACGTTATGGTACGCTCCAAAATGTATATCCATGAGTCTGGGAGAGAACGTATAGTCCTAGGCGATGCTGTTGGTCCATTGATTGTGCAGGGCGGCTTACAGTTAGCCTACAATTATTGATTTTGTATTTGATTTTGAATAGCCTAGTAAAGGGGAATTGTTTATATTTTCATAATTACTAGGGTGACACATTACATTTAGCTATACAGAATATCTCACCACCATGCGTTTCCATCTCCTCCTCTCTCCTTTATTATTTTCTCGAGCGCGTAGACGGGCTGTCAACAGTTTTGTGTAATATGTTTCCTTGCGATGTTCCCGAACAGATTTCACTTGGTTTCCCAAATTAAGCACTGGGTAGCTGCAGGAACAAGGTTGGAGAGCCCATGGCATACAGAGTTTGGGCAGAATATCACCTGTCGGGCAGCGATAACATGCTCCTCAAACAATGGTTGATGCGTGAAGTGAAATAAGTGTTTTTATATTTATTTATCAGCTGCTCATATTAAGCACAGCTCCGCTATAAAACCTGAAGTAGCCTACAAAACGGACCGTCGGGAAAGCGTGCTGACCCATTTGCTATTCAGGTGCATAAAGATGACATGTATTTTTTCCCCTGCACCTGTTCCTGCCCATTTGATAGTGGGCCATTCTAAATCTAAACTAATTTTTACATATTAGTAAAGACAATATTACATTGAGAATAGTCTGATGGGTGAAAAATATGATCACCTGATGAGAGAACAGCTGTGCAGCCTGAGGCAAGGAACAGAGCAAGCTTTTTTTTGTACTTTCTCAAATCATCAATAGCCTATAGTCGCACCATATATGTTTTGATTTCTAAGACATTCTAAGGTTTGTATCATTCACAACTGAAGTTGCCAAATAACTCTCAATCTAGCATATAGGACCGGTTTCAAATGATCACTTTTATGCTCAACATAGCCATTTCATATGCGCACTCGCGCAGTAATGGGAAAAATATCCTTTCTATATTATTCAGCTAAGTTCAATTATATTCTTCTTACTATAAAATCATATAAAATAATGGCACAGGACTTATAAGCATATCTTGTCAGCTAAATGAACAAGCCTACAGCCTATGGCATGGAGCATAGCCAGATAACTAAAATACAGTAGGCCAACTCATATTCTGTTCTTCTCAAATACATTTTCTTCATATCATAATATTTCTTTAGACCTGACTAAAATAAATAATGGATTTATTGTGATGGTGTATATTAAATTGATTTATTCTACTTTTTTAAATGTCTATGTTCCAAAGGCATGCATCAGCCAGCAGCTTTTATGCTGGAGGCCTGGAGATGCAAAATGTGTTTATGTTAATTTAGGTCAATTACCGTGAGATGGGCAGGCTTTTGCATGACAATAACCGGCTGACAAAATTTCATGACCGCCACAGCCCTACCTCTGACTTCTGTGATGTTATTGTATGTGCAGTATAAAGCCCCAGTGGTATGGATGAATACAGTATCAGTATTAAATATGGGGTCTCTTGGAGGGGACCCCTGGATCAACTGGATGGGACATTACTCATATGTTTTGCTTATATTTCCCCTACTTTATAATGACAAAATAATTAACCATCAAATTCATCCCAGGGAAATGCCACTCTATTCCATATACTGTATACTGCATTACTTTTGGCCAGAGTATTTGATGAGTCAAAAGTAGTGCATTATACGGGGAATAGTGTGCAATTTTGGACACACACAGGTCACCACCCATCCTACCTACCTCCCTCACTAGAACTAGAACCCCCATCCTACCTCCCTCACTAGAACTAAAAACACACTCCTTCTTCCAGATCTACTCTTTGACCCCAGTGAAATCAACAATGGTCAGTATGTCACATGACTGGCTTTGGGAGGCATCAAAACAAACCTGTGTTTGGGGGGATAAAACAGTAAATAAACTGATTTATGTTATGATGAACAATGAGCTGAAGACTGTGCTTGTGCCCAAATGGCATCCTATTCCCTATGTAGTGCATAGGGATCTGGTCAAATGTAGTGCACTAAAAGGGAATAGGGTGCCATTTAGTATGCAGACTAAGATCTTCCCTAATGTGTACAGTTAGAGAACAGACCAGATGTGTGTTATTGTCTAGTCTAATGTGCTTGGTATGTTAGGCCTCTGCTAGTGACAGGCCTTCATATATGTAAAGTGGACATGTTGTAAGTAAATTGTTGGCTTTTCAGTGAAAGGCGATTCCCTCCCTTTCTCCATCTCTTCCTTTCTTCCCTTGTGTCATGGAGTTACTGCAAACAGGAAAAGAGAGATGGAGATGCCAGGGAATAGCAGTCAACCCTAACATTACTATTTCAGATCAATGGATGCGTCCCAAATGGCACCCTATTCCCTATTTAGTGCACTAGGCCTCTGGCCGCTTCATAATCCCTCTCCTTACCTAAGCTAATATGCACTGGACTGGGACTGGAGAGAAAATTGTACTGGAAAAATAGTATTACATTAAAGTTGATTGTGATGGAAGGTACAATGCAAAAAAAAGCCTCTGTGCATATTATGTACAGCAGCCTACATTAAAAAAGATGAATTGTTCAAAGTCCCTTATAGTAATTCAAGTATGTATGTTTTGATGGTGAGTGGTTGGTTCAACAAGTGAAATATCACTATATGATTTTGTAAATCTGAATTGTCCACAAGAATACATATTGATCCTTACAAAAGAGGAAGTGGTTTTGAAAGTGTATCTGGATTTTGGCGCATGGTCAACTGCACATTTTGAATGTACTTTTCAGACCAACTGCTGTTTGTGACATTGCTATGTCTAATAAATAAATAAAAAACTAAAAGGGACAGATGCAACAAGTGTACATTTTTCACTTTCTGTTGACACTAAGGTTAAGGGTGGCAAAGGATAACAATAGTAACTCACTACTGTCCAGTCATATATGTAACATGTCTGTCCGCTTCTCTGCCTTCTTGGGACAGGTCTCCCTCGTAATACATTGTTCTTACCTCCAATGGGATCTACCTGTATAAATAAAGGCTAAATCAATCCATTGCAGGTCAACTGGGCCAGAACTGGACTAATAAACACAATGTGCCGACAAACGTTTGAAAGCAGCAGGTGACCCTCCTATATCGGCGCTGACCAGAACATCAGTCGATAAAGAAACACGTGAGTCTGCTTTCTAGGCGTCTCAACTAGCGTCCCAATCAACAGCAGCTAATTGTCTATATGCTACAGTGAACATCTCATTGACAGCTAATGAGACTTGACACAACTATAATTTAACCATGACTCATAAGAGCAATAAATCACACATTTAATAACCATTATTGCTGCGTCCCTAATTACATGTACGTTATTTAGCAGACGCTCTTATCCAGCGACTTACAGTCAGTGAGTGCATATTTTTTATTTTTTATACTGGCCCCCGTGGGAATCGAACCCACAACCCTGGCGTTGCAAACGCCATGCTCTAC